GTATTCGACGCAGTACCCGCCGGGGGAAGCAGAGGAAGAGGAAGACCTCCACTCCGTTGGAAGGACCAAGTGGAGAAGGACCGGGCTTCACTTGGAATATCTAATTGGCGCCACGTAGCGAAAAGCGGTTCGATAGTAGATTTTGCAGGTCTAAAGCCCCGCTGATAAGGTTCAAGCAGTGTGTTAAGGCTGAGCTTCAGTCTTTCACAAACAACTCTAGATAATCTCACAGTAATTGATGCAGTTTTTACCGTCAATTTATTTGTGGATTGTGCAGAACTCCAATCGTTGGGCATGTTTTCATTCTACTATATCTTTCAAGGAAGCTGATGCATGCAAACTGTCAGATCTTCGATGCCGTATTTGAATAGCTCGACAGGTAAGTCATCGGCTCCTGTCTATTTTGTTGTTGCTTAGACGGGTAATTGCTATTCGAACTTCATAACATTCTGGCAATGGAAAATCTATTCGATCGTCATCCATTGAGGAATCGGGCTCGCCATCACCTAATGTTACACTTTCACTTCCGTCCGCAGCTTCAGTATACCCTGAACATCAGGCACTAGATCACTGCTATAGGTACTGAAAGAGTATGCTCCGATCGTGTAATCTTTCCGTAGTCGCCGCATTTTTTTTTGTATAATTTTCCAGCGTTACCCCTGTCGGCCAACTGGTCTAGCTTTTCATAATCATGCATTTTGGTGTCTTCCTTTTTATGTCAGCATGTAAATATCATGTTCAACTTCCATGTTCAACTCTCAGTATCTATCTTATCCGCTCGTGTTGTAGTCGATCATAACGTAGCGAGAAAGGCAGTCTGTTTTCTCTCCGCTGCGACACTACAGTGCCGAAGAGTCGAGTTGAAAGCTGTCCAGTCCGTCGAGTCGAAAGCCGTTTCATTCCACTGTCAATTGTGATACTTAGTAGCTTCTAAATGTCGAAGCTTCTCCTAGTCGATGTTAGATCCTCGGAGCGTATACACGTCAAGGACACCGTGAACGTGTCGTCCATCTAGCACAACATGATCGATCTAGATCCGGAGATAGCCAAGTAGCTTTATGAATTTTCCTGTGCTCGAATCCAATACTACTTACAACCATATTTCGAGCTCCTGCGAACAGGATCAGCCTCAACCCATTTGAAAAGGTGTCGCGATGTACTTTGCCCACCTTGACGTTAAAATCGCCAAACACAATTTTTACTTTGTGTTCATATGCATCATATGAGCGTTCCAGCCGCTCATAAAAAAACAAATTTGGTCATAGCGTCCTACTATACCGTCTGGGCTTGGTCGCAAATCATGTTATCTTTAAAAATTTTGCTCAGGCGCAGATTGTGGCTATACGCTCATCCAACGTAGTGAATGTCAGAGTTCGACCACTGTGTAAACCATGAATCCCACACCGAATTTTTGCTGCTTTATATGTTCGCTTTAGTAAATATCACAAGGACATACTAGTCTCCGTCCTTGTCCGTCTATCGCTCTTCTTGGATGACAGTGATGTCAGTTTTTACTTTTACGAGTACATCAAAAAGGTAAGCATTGACACCTTCCCATCTTAAGGACCGGGCATTCCAGGTGCATGCCTGGAAATAATATTCGGTTCCGTTCACACTAATGTCGACTTTATTCTGATTGTTGAAATCTGCGTCAATTGACAAGTGTTTCCTTTAAAATTAGACCAATATTTAGAAAATAATCTTTTTGAGATTTATTGCAATTTATTGAACTTTAGGATGTTCTTCCTGCTTCTTTTTTGTTTCAGGTTAGCAATGCTCACAGTTATAGCCTTTATAATTAAGTACTTTCCTAAATTGACTTAATTTGTTCTCTCATTTAAATACAGTTTAACGCCAATTTCTTCATATATACATATGTATGTATATATGTAAGTGCATTGGTAATTCGATGCTATGATTACTTAACTAGAACAGTTCCGTGACAGCATTCACTTTACTTCATTGATTTACCGGCATTAGAAATACTTCATCACATCATTCGCAGTCATTATCAGCTCATTATCGGCTCATTATCAATGCGACCTCAAGGAAAATTGTTCATGGTGAAGCGAAAGTAATATGATTTGCTTCCCCAGTGTACGAGAAATGCCGTCGGCTATGAAGCGCAGTAAAGACATGAGGCCAGTAAACATATATACATTTAGCTACGAGAGCCTGTACTACACTGAAGACGTTGCGGAGGTAATATAATAGGAAGATATGTGGCAAGGGGGCAAACGCAATGACAATGAAATAACTAAATATTTGCTCGTATTTGCCGGCGGCATTTGTGTTTGTAGTCAATATTATGTGGGCTTGCGGTTGAAGTCTTTCAGCGGGCAATTAGAAATGTACATAAGCAAATAGTGCAAGCCACTTATCGTTTATATACCATATACTATATATTGTTTATTTGCCATATATTATATATCGTTTATTTACCATGTTTATACTGGTTATTTATCATATATATATGTACTGGATATATAGGTGCGTGCTCAAAATACAAACGTTTTTGTAATAAATGGGCATTTATATAGTCTATGTGGGTTGAGCATGAAGAACATAATGTTGAGATTTCATCTACTAACTCTTCTATTTTTACTACAGCAGTTGGCGGGGCTAAGAGGTTGGCGAATCGAACAAGCAATTATGAATTTGAATAAGAGATGGAACAGTAAGCGGTTTGTCTACTTTAATGAGCTGTATGTTCTACTATCTTGTATAGTATTGAACTGTATTGCTTTACTATAAAATTTCTTTGAGAAGAAAGAAGATTTCTCCACTTACCGTTTAGAGAAGCAATGTGGAGCTGACGGTTTATGGTTTATCTATTTTATATGTAAGCTCCAAATCATATAAAAAAAGGAAAAACAAATGATTTCTTTACCCAAACATTGTTTATACAGATTAAGTAATATTTGCTTTGTTTTTAGCAAACCGTTGAGTAATGGTAATGGAGTAAGAAGCATGCATGAAGTTAACATAATGCTTTGTAAATACTATTTGGAGGCATTTTTTAAAGCGCTTCGTCTATTTGGACTGTGTGCTCCCCCGGCAAGGAATATATGGATTTTACATGGGCGGGGGGCTTGCAGCTAGACTACAGCATAACACTAAGTAAATTTAATTTACTAGTAACCTGGATTCGGCTAAACTTTAAAGTATTACTATAACAATTAAGAAGTGTCTCAAAAAAACTTTGCGAATAACAAAAAAGTCGGAGATAAAAAATCGTAGTTTAGTCAAGTCGCAAACCACATTCGAAAGAAAATCAAAATTGGTTTAATCATACATTTTTGATAATTTTTGTGTATGCTATATAAATATAGAGTGCCTTAAGAAAATAATTATGTATCCAAAAGGCCTTCAAATTCATATATAAAACGCATGTCATTTTATTTCTCCAAACTTATTTACTGTGCTGTGTGTAACTTTTCTTTTGCATATTATTTGTAATTTCGTTTAGCTTTCATGTCTTCACCTCATAACTGAAAATTGCTCTTATTTCTTAACACTTACTCTTTTATATGTTTAATCCCATAAACTTCTAATTTGTGTCGTGAATTTATAGGTGCTCGACATGCAAACATGCTGACAAGAGAGAGTGCACTGGAGAATGTGTGGGAATTTAACTTGTTTTATAAATACTTTCTCAGCTTTGCTATGAACTGAATAAACTTTGGTTGGTAAGTTGCTTTTGAAAATATATTTTTCATTAAAAGTTAAAGGTTTTTAGACGGTATTATACTCAAGCACCCCTCGACAGACGGGTGGAACATTTCGACCAACTTTCTTACGAATGTAGTTAAAATGAAAGTATGCAAAGGAAGGTACCACAAGCAGTTAGTGAACCTTTAGTCTTTAGAGGCTCTGGAGTTAAGAGAGTTAGTAGAGGTCATTACGCGCTTGAAGAATCACAAAGCCCCTGAAGCATGAACATAGCTCAATCTGCACATGTTGCCCTGCGCCATATGTTTAAGGTCGTTCAACAGGTGTGGCAGCTAAAAAGCATGCCACATCAATCGTTATCCGTAATAATATGACCAATGTTTAAAAAAAAAGACAAATTT